AACTCAGTTCAGTCTGTTTTAGAAAAGTCTGGCCGTCATACTTCATTGATCACTATTGGTTTCAAAGGATACAAAAAAAGTGTATAATTCTCCAAAAGAAATCCAAAAATATTGCATAAATTTCACATCCACAGATTCACAACAACATTATAGACATGCACAACACAAATTCCAGCTTTATTGACCAGGATACTTGAATAAATAGTACAAAACCACAGAGCACATTATAGGGCAGCCATTCAAGAATAGCGCTCACTACCAGTAAAGCCACAGCAAAACATGTCCTGCTGTTTTAAAGTATAAGTAAAAGCACTGTCTCATACTTTGAAGATATATAGGTGTCGTTAAGAACGCTAGAGCCTTTTCTACCTTTGGTCGGCCACTCGACACAAGCTAGGTCATTTCGGGAAATTAATGTATAAGTGTATGATTGGGTTGTATAAAAACTATCAAACCTGTTTTTGTTCGGATTATTATTGGGGTTTTTTCCTCGCGTTTTTGGAAACAATACATCCTAACCTACAATCTCGCAAACAATCACGTGCTCTAAAACTATTTGCATCTCAACGACCATGACAAAAATTGAGCTGGCCTTAACAAATAGATTTAGCCGGCAGGCATTGACTTCACCTTGATATAAGATAATAATAATAATAATTTATTTTATTAAAGTGTCACAAATCAGTTGAATATTTACAGAGATTATACAACATGATACAAATGATTCTTGGCCAACATAGGCCTATGAGACACTACAGATAAAACATTTAAATAATATGATATAAAGCAATAAATACCGGTAAAACAATTAATTATGTAATCACATTTATTGAAAATATCTATTCAAAATCATAAAATTCCATACTATATCCAAAACTATAAGGCAAAAATAGAGATAAAACAAAGTATGTATATAAAATACCTATTCTAATAATAAAATTTCATCCAGTAGGTTAAAAAAAACAACCATAAAAAATTCTAAAAGTAAACGTTTTGAGTCAGTCACAGAATTTTAAACTATACAGTGTTTTTCAGGATATTTCGTCTATTTTTCAGTTTCTCTAGGAACATTCCAAGTTGGTATTCAATGGGATTTACTAAAATATATAAAAACTCGTGGCTAAAAGATTAAAATCTTGATTTTTTAACTTTGTTCTAGGGGAGTTGGGTGTTTTGTATATCGGCCTGTCTCTATTGCGATTGGGAAAGAACCACTTCTCAGCTGACATATCAATCTCCTTTGGTATCTGGGTATGTTTAGGTCAGTGACATAAGCCTCGCGTGATAAGCATGATTTAAACTTCCTGTATGTTCGCAGCTTGTTACCGTTAACATTGTTACGGTCATTGAAAACCTCAGATACCCACTCACTGTTATCCAATTCTCTTAGTTTACACTTTGCAACATTTGATACATATTTTACACTAATATTACCATTCAAGACAATACTATTGATATTAATAGATTTTACAAACTTATAAACACTATTTATCCACCCCTTTTTCTTTTTAGAACGACATAAATATGAAAAAATCTTAAATAATAAGCGATTGTTATCAAGGCGATACAGTTTACAGAGCTGTCTGATACATTCTAATTTTTGTTTAGTGAAGCAACTTTTTAGAACGACATAAATATGAAAAAATCTTAAATAATAAGCGATTGTTATCAAGGCGATACAGTTTACAGAGCTGTCTGATACATTCTAATTTTTGTTTAGTGAAGCAACTTGTCCAGCCCATATGTAGCACCATAGGTCCTTTGTCTGACGTGGAGAGCGGGCATATGTCGGAAAACCGGTCGCCACATCCTACGTACGACCCATGCATCTTTTCTTACTACATATTTTTGTAGCCTTGTGATCGTCTAGAATTTGTCTCTAGCTGTCTTTACTTCTGCTTCACGTTGTGTATTTACTTCTTACAGTTTCTTCAGACGTTTGTCTTACCAGGAATAACAATGCATCAGTTTGCTTCTGCATTTTATATATATAGCTGAATACAGTTATACAAGCATAGCACAAATTACAATACTATATAGCTAAAACCATTTCTCCACCCTAGGCAGCCTCGCGGCTGTCTAAGAACTCAGATGGTCCCTCTCTGTAATCTAATGGAAGTCTAACGAATTCTCACAAGTATGATAGTTTTGTAGCTGTGGGTTTTGGACGTTCAATTATCCAATTGGTCAAATATGATGTAAATAATTATAGAGATTGGTTTATTGAGCCCAATGACGTCGACAACCCACCCGTATATGGTGGAATGGAATTTTACTGAAGAATATTCTCATGAGATATCTGTTAACATGTTGTTGACATAGAACCAGTTATGTTATGGCTCTACAAGTGTTTTTATATCATAATATATCATTCAAACCCTAAGTTGATTTAAGTATTTTAAGTACATATCACATATTATGCGAATATGTTATTTCTCGAGCAAAAATTCTACTAAAAGTATTACACATATCAGTTCTGATGAGCGCGGTTTTGACATATAAAATAAAAATACCTTCGGCTGATTAATTAGAAAAAATATTTACCATAATAATGTTACTTTTCGGCCAACAACTATTCTGCTGAACTGGGTAGTACGGAAGCGTATAGGGGTCATGCAAAATTTTGTTGAAGGTCTCGAGATCCTGCGATCCTGTGATACTTTCTCGAAATCCCATGACCACCTGGTAATTTTCTCGAGATCTCAATTTAATGTTCTCGAAATCCCTTGATAATTTTCCTGAGATATTGACATCCTGTGTAAATTTTCTCGAGAATTCGAGTTAATGTTCTCGAGATATTGACATCCTGGGTAAATTTTCTCGAGATCCGAGTTAATATGAAACCTCATATGATAGTGTCTCCATGTTGTGATGCAACCATTGGCCCAATACTTCGCACCAAATTTGATAAAAAAAAAAATACTCTAACATTTGTTACAAAGGAAAACTGCTAACTAATGGAAGAATAAACGGACAATCGACAGGGTACCCATGATTTACACTAAATTTGAAAAATGATTAAAATCAATAGGGTTCATCGTCTAATGGCCCAAATCCTTAACACCAAATATGAAATTCAAAACCCTACCACGTTAGCTTTGAATTACAGACATTGTTAAATTATTTCTCAATTTAATGTTTAGGCGACGTTTTATAGAAAATGTCATGTTTTGCATGGTTTTCTGACCATATTTTTTGGCACAAATGCTTCGGAGCTGGTTTTAAATCAAAAATCTTGAAAAACTCTGGGCTCTAATGCGTTCACAGGGTTTACCGGAAAATAGGAATAACGCCATAACAAAACGCCTGAGATCACTGCAAATCAAAAAGGTTCATTGTTCCGCCGAAAATAAATAGGGTTCCTTTGCTTATGACACTAATGATTCAACAGAAATTTGAACGATAGCCACGCAAAGTATGGAGATACGCCCACGCAACATCTATGTCTCAACAGCAGATTATTCGAAAGGAAAATAAATTGGATAAGAATCTAGCATTCTTCAAGAAATCTAATCTCTCGTGTTCACGTGCTTGTTATATCTCTGGGACAGGAAACCTTATATTGCTGAAAATTAACAGGGGTTATCCTTGTCGCGGAACACTGGATATCGAAAATACGTTAAAAACAAGGTTTTCAAAGAATGGAGAGTAGAACTCCGGAACGGAAGATCGCTAACCATTGAATATCAATAAAGTTCATGAACCCAAAGCTTCACACAAAATTTTAAAAGTGAAGATTCTATGGCGTGAACAAAGCTTCCAGGAAACGGGCGGGGAGGGGGGTATATTAAGGAACAGAAGGTCACAGAATGCTGAATATCGATAGGGTTCGTCTTCTCATCGTCACATATTTTAAAGAAATACAAAGAGGGTAACTCTCGAACAGAAGTTTGCGGAGTACTGAAAATCGAAAGGTCCTTGTGCTTCACACCACATTTGAAAAACAAAATCAGTTAAAGACTGTGGCCTCTATTGCGTTAACAAGTTTTTCGGATAAGGGGAATAACTCCAGAACGATAAGGTGCGCTAGAAGCGACAGGGGCCGTCCTCTCATGGCCCCAGTGCTTTACACTAATTTTGAAACAAATCCGTTAAAAACTGTATGCTCTATCGTGCTATTAAGGTTTTCGGGAAAGTGTGTTTGGGGGGAGGGGGGGTCCGAAACGACAAGTTGTGGGGCGCTGAAAATACGTTAAAACTACGCGCACACATAAAAATACCCGAGATCTCGAGAACATTTACACAGAATGACAAGATCCCGAGAACATTATCTCGAATTCTCGAGATCGTTAACACAGGATGGGAGATTCTCGAGAAAATTATTAGGCGATTTCGAGAACATTAAATTGAGATCTCGAGAAAAAATCACGGGATCGCAGGATCTCGAGGTCTTCTACAAAATTTTGCATGACCCCATACGCTTCCGTAGGGTATAGCTATTATTATTAATTTTAAACATTCCCCTGCTTGTTTTTATTCATTCTATACTAAAAAAAACCCCAAGGTAATGCACGTATTTAATTTCTCGTTTTATCTTTTCTAGTGACAGTCAATTATTTTTTTGAATTGTCAGATATCCCCCTACAGTGTCATATAACAACGTTTGGTCTTCGAAGGAATTATTATTGAGCAGAAATTCGCCCGTGTATCAGTCAGTTATATAGAAGGATAACTTGTGTTTTGCTTTTGCGTTCGTCACTTCCCTTTCTTGAAATCTTCATAACGCATCTATTGTAGCAATGATCTCTGTGTTAAAATTTGTTTAAAAAAAAAAATCAGGAAATTTGGCTTGCTGAAATGTTTTTGCTATATAAGATATGGACTTTTTGACAGATTTTATTAATCCTTTTTTTCTTTAAAATTCTTGAAAAACAATACAGGACAATAAAACATTTTAATCTACTAGATTTTGAAAGTAATGTATAAGTGTATGATTGGGTTTTATAAAAACTATCAATTAACAGAACACAGTTTTTATGGGACACAATCACTATTTTAATTCTAAAAGCACGACGTTTCGACAAGTATCCTCTTATCGTTATCAAGCACAATGACATTTAGTTCGTTCGTTCGCTTCTGGAGATTTATGTCCACTTCCACCTTGGGGGACATTTAGTTCGTTCGTTCGTTTCTGGAGTTTTACGTCCACTTCCACCTAAAATAATATCGTAGACATCGTAGACATTTAGTAAACTTGAGGTCAATATATACAAAATCCATAGTGAAACCATCAACATGGATTAAAATAACAGTAACAAAAATAATATAAGAGGTAAAGGATATTTAACAAAAACAACAAGCACAACAAGGTAATTAGCTGGCTGAATAAACTCTAATACATGAGTAGGGGGTTATTAACTAGTATGAAGCCCTTCAAAGGGTGCTATGAATAAACAGGGTACAGCTGATTAGACACAGATAGTGAGGCCATATATGCATGAAATTAAATATGATATGGATTTATAAATACAAATATAACAATACACAAATAATGGACAGGTTTGGGATAATCTATAATAGCGAAAACTTAATCAAAAGGGGGGGGGGGGGTGCGGGGAATTTTAATACAACCAAGGGTGCTAAATTACCACAGTTAAATTATATTATGCAGATTAATAACATCATCATATGCCCTGGAGATGTAAAGCCCTAAGTCCCTACTAAGTTCAGGTGAATATCTTCTGATGTTTATAGCTTCTAGGATCTTCCTGGTTTTCTTGTTCTGTTGGTTGGCAGTGAGTATATGGACCTCATTCCATTTAACTCGATGTTGTGGGTGGTTCTGTAGATGTTCTGCTATGGCTGAATTATTAGTGGCAGCTTTGGACCTATCAAACCTGTTCGAAAACCGGTCTAGTTATTTGTATACAGAGCGCCATGGAAAACGCAGCACTTTTTTCCCGTAATATTTTATTACTAGGTGGTTTTGTATGTATAATATTATACAATACTATGAACTATTGTTTCACACAATGCTCCCAAACGCAAAAAATATCGGCCCGTGTGAAAAGAAAAAATTGCACGAGATGCACATGAAAAACCCAATATTCACGTGCAGCATTGTGTGTGAGCCCTTTAAAAGCATGTTTTCAACTTAATGTGCAGTACATGAACTGTGAAACGTCAATCTGTCGTAATTTGTTGTTGGACGTGTGAAGGAATTGAGCTAGAGATGCCGAGACTTACTGAAAATCAACGGAATGAAGCCATGGGAATGTCCAGGGCTGACATGTCTACACGTGCTATTGCCAGACACTTCAATTGTCATCAGTCCACTATTGTAAGGTTGGCGGAACGTGTTCGAGTTACTGGATCAACACGTGACTATCAACGTCCTGGTCCACAACGCGTTAAAACCCAGGATCAAGACCGCTACATCCGGGCCACTCATCTGCGTTACAGATTCCGCCCAGGGACTCGAACAGGTGCAGCAGTCGTCGGAAGACAAGGACCAGTAAGTGCCAACACCGTAAGACGTCGTCTAAGAGAAGCAGGACTCCGTGCACGGCGACCTTATGTTGGAGCTATCACCAGGGATCATCACCATCAGCGGCGTTTGATATGGGCTCAAAGACACCAGACATGGAGAAGAGTAGACTGGCAAAGTGTGCACATCAGTGATGAGAGTCGCTTTCATCTTTATAAAGCTGATGGCCGTCAACGTGTATGGAGACGTCTTGGGGAACGTCTTGCAGACTGCTGCGTCTTCGAAACGAATTGATGGGGTGGGTATTAGATCTTGTGGGAGGAAAAAAAATTCTAAATGGAATGCGGTGGGGTGACTCTTTCCACATTTACGGCACGTCTTTTTATTTACACAGTTACTAGGATCATGAAATTGACGTAAACAACCAAAACAAAGTCGCTTTTCTCTCGCAAATGCACGGCGTTCTTCATACGACAGCTCCTGAAATTCAAAGCAATAATCTAAATTATGTCCCTTGGCACACCCCCCCCCCCCATCTTTCTGCGTTACTACTGAAATTTGGGGCGAAACTTTGTTTAGGTTTATATTCATTAAAAGATCGCGGAGTATTATTGTCAGTTATTTTACCAAACACTGGATTTGTCAGAATGTCTACTTCACAATTAACAAACTTAACGAAGTCCTCAAAGGTAGCGAGCTTAGCGGTATATTCATCTGACTGTAAACTATACACTTTACGACGCCATCGTTCACGCATTGAAAACGGTAATTTTTCCATAAGATCACGTAAATTTTGTGAATTATTTAACTCCTTGAGATAGTCAATGTCAGTCATAGCGTTCAAACACAATAACAGCTGCTGCGAAAACTTCTGAAGTAAATTTAAGTTCTCAGGTTTCATAACTGGCTACTTCAAGAGTTTATTCATGTAAGCGGATGTAATTCTGAAATTATCACCAAATTTCTGACCTAATAATTGTTTTGCCCGTGCATAGCCTACTTTAGGTTCCATATGTAAGCAACTTTTTATAACCGCATTTGGATCACCAATCGTGTACTTTTCTATTCTATTTTCAAAGGGTTTAATAAAAGTTCTGTACTGAAGCGGGTCACCATTAAATTTATGAATTTCAGGTCTTGGGAGAAGATTTCTGCGTTGCTGATTCAGAATAAGCTCTGCCAATTCTATTTGTCTCTGAACAATGTTTTCTACGGAACTGTTTGAGGCATTTACTAAAGGAGGGTTGTCATGCAAATCATTCGGAGGGGTCGTAACAGGAGGTCTATCAACCAAATTACTCGGAGTGGATGCAGACGTAGATTTAATTTGTTGCTGTGTAGAATCTGGCTCTTCTATGAGTTTATTCAAAGCACATTGCCTGGCTCGCGATACATTCAATTCTGTTTGTAGCTTTAAACGTTCCCTTTCTGTTTGTAGATCTAGCTCTTGTTGTCTTAATCGTTGATGTTCGGTAATAGACACTGCCCTGTCCTCGCGCTCGGCCTGTTTTGCATGTTCCTTCGCGACAAGTACACTTGTGTTAGATTTTACTGAATTCTTTGACGAGGAAATAGAAACCTGATCATCGTTGATTATTAACTGTGATCTCATTTCTGGGCCTGTATCATAAAAACCACCCTCATTCCATGGAATTTCTTCAAGCCATGTATGAACGTTTCTATCCGTAGGCTTTACCATTTTTTCGCGTTTACATTAATATTCACAAACCAACGAAAAGGTTCACGAAAGTTTGAAACTAAAAATGTAGAAGGCAACTACAGTCTATAGTGACTTGCAGAAGCAATCCCGTTGCGTTGTCCCCCTAAGTCAAACACGCGTTCAATTTGTGAATAGGTTTATTACCTTTATTACATCGGTACGTTGCGTTAAATACAGGAATGGGCGTTACATCATTACATTGCGTTGAAATACAGGTTTATACATTATTCGTTAATAATAAACACACAAGTTATACGTTAATAATACACATTATAGGTTAATAATAACACACAGGTTACACGTTAAGCTCAATCACCTTCCAAAATTAAGCGAAAGTAAACAGTTCAACAAACGAACGTGGTTTCAACAAACGAACGCGGTTTCACTGAAATTATAATAATAACAGTGAATTACAATACTATTACAACGAACAATATAAATCAAAGATATAAAATTAACTGATAACCAAAGCTTTTGGCCTAATGAAATATGAAATTACTCTATATTAACATTATCAAAACCCTGTGTCTGCCTCATTTGGCAAGTTGCCCAATCTTACAAAACCATGTGCGCGATATACATAACTTTTAAATGCTTAAAATCATCATATATTTACGTTAGCAATACATAAATTTGACATAAAAATGCTCCACAACTTCTTACAGCACATTCAGAATAATATAAACTTCACTTACAACTTGTGAGGGGACTTAGAGACGTTAATTCATCGTTGCGTTTCTTTTTCTGCTCTAGCGGCAGCCATTATGCGTTGGTACATGGTTACGCATAGTACTAATTATGCACTAGCGTCTAATTTATGGAAACGGATCAAATATTTATCATTTTATGCAAATATGGACTTCTGCCGTAACATTGTGATATTGGACGGTATTTTATTTATCCTGATGTCATATGTAAAGACATTTTATGAATTGAAAGCCATGCGTTTTATGATTGAGGGGAAACAACTCTTCTATGACCCCTGTTTCATCATTAGTCATGTGTTTGGAATTTGTAGTATACAGGCTTAAATAGGCAGGTTATCGGTGTGCATGTCGTATAGTTACTTGTTGAGTGTAATTCTCAATATTTAACAGTCAATTAATTATTAAAACTATAATTGTGTTAGGTTTTTGACTTTATGTACATGTAAATGTCAAAGGGTTTTCAAGTACTATACAGGGACATGAGGCATCTGCAGCAATAAATGTTTGTCAACCCTCCTTCACATTGTTGGATTATATAAATATTTGTTAATAAATTAAGAGCTTTGGGTGGCCGAGTGGTCTGACTCGTGAGCTTTGGATCATATGTTATGTCAATGACTCGGGTGGCATGTTTTGGATCCAGCGCTTGTATGTGACAGGATTGGGGTCGCCTGCCTAACCTCAGGGGTTTTATCAGGGCATTCTGGGCCCTGTTTCATGAAATTTTAACAAGAGATAAAAACCAAATTTTAGTAGATACTTCAATTTTGATTGGCTAAGCACTAAAATCAATCTAATTTTATCCAATCAAATTACTAAAATTTGGATTTTATCTTAGTTAAAATTTCGTGAAACAGGCCCCAGGTTCCTAAAAATGTACCATTGTTAAGATCCTCTATGTGCAGGTGAATTTATGCGTGTCCTGGAGTGGCCCAGATCAAGTTTAGCGGTTGTTAGCCCCATCTCTTTTATCAAGTCAACTTCATGATGTAACAAATTTATTAATGTTTGGGGTTTTTTTGTACTTTCAGGGTTGTTAGCGCCACCCTTTTTTTTGTATGATTAATTTTAAAAAAAAATAAAATTTTATCGTATTGACAACATGTTTTTTTGTTAATTCCCCTTGGTCAAATGTAGATAGCTTTGTGGTATACCTCAGGAGCCGACGGGATTCCAAATTGAAGTCTCAAGAATCTGTATTTACCAAATGGTGTATTGAAGCAAGTAAGCTTAGATGACTTCTCACCCAATTTCATTTGCCCAAATCCAGACGATGCATCGAGCTTACTGAAATACTTCGCCTTGGAATATTGTGCCATGATTTCCTCTCTAGTTTGTAGTTTATAGTGCTCTCTTTTGATGGCTTTATTCAGGTCTCTTGGATCCAAACACTGTCTCAGCTGACTTTTTGCTGGTTTTGGTACGACAGCTAGGCTATTCGCCCAATCTGTAGGATTATCTTCAGGACAGATGACATTTAGTTCCACCATCCTGTCAAACTCTTCTTTCAGTTTATCACGTAGAGCGAAAGGGGCTTTTCTGCAGGAATGAACCACAGGTTTGACAGTTTCATCAATTTCTAAAGTGTGTTCACCAGGCAGGCATCCCAAACCTTCAAATACGTCTTGATATTCTTCAAAATATTTGGGACTGTATTCTTGTTGTTTTGGCTTGGCTTGATTTTCTATTGTGAAAACTCGTTTAATGAGTTCCAATTTCTCACATGCTGCTAGACCCAATATTGGCGTCACGTTGTTCTTAACAATGATGAAAGTCAGTCGAAGAGTTTTGTCTTTGTATTCAATATCTAGTATTGATGAAACTACAGTTTCAATCTCGTCACCGCTATATGATGTAAGCTGGGTTAAGGTTCTGTTTATTTGGGGCTTTTTCATCACATTTAGAAAGTCTTGGTTTGATAACACGTTCACGGACGGGATTACCATTGTCTAATTTATATTTAATAAATGAACCATTGGTTAACAAACTATATCGCCATTCTACTCGACTTGGAGTCTCTATGGAGTAAACACAGTATAAATCTTTATCTTCTTCTGAGCTGACAATGTATTCATTGTCTCAGTGTGCTATGAGGCAGGGCTTGCCACGAGCAAATTGGAGGCGAGTAGATGACTACTCACGCAAATATAGACTTGCGCGAGTGAGGCGAGTACATGTATTTACTCACGCAAAATGATGTGCGTGAGTAGCCATTTAAATTTCATGTGCCTAATGGCAATGTTCTTGTCACTTCGATGGAAGCGGACGTTGAATAAAGCTATTTCACACATATATGGCAATGCATACTCTTTTATTTCCTAATAGTTCATGATATCTGACGAAACTTTTCCTTTAGTAGACAAAGATTTTAAAAAGTTACTATTTCTAGCACACAATTTACAAAAGACATGGCTGACAGCCGCTTTTTGTTTTATGTGGTCGAATTCTTTATATCCAAACGAATTCTGTAATTCGTCTTCCCATGACAAGAACCTTGCAAGGGAAACTGGGTTTCCCTTTGCCATCGTTGGCGTGCTGAGGGGATTCGGGTAAAGCTTAGAAAGGTAAAAGAACAGGCAAAACAATTTCAATCCCATCAATTTGCAGAAAAGATGCGGGATCGAAAGAATTGCTATAGAAACGACAACATCCGCTCAATTTTTTATTATCCAGACACGGCAAAGGACATCGGCTTAAAAAACGCCTGGCAGTACGCGTCTCAAAGTATTTTTAGTAACAAAAGGTGGCACTGGAAAGACACGCCGCGTGCGCAATAGTGCATCAATATGAAGGCATACAAATTGTTTACGGCTTTTTTTATTACGATATTCCATTATTTCTGATTAAATTATTTTTTATATTTGCGCGAGTACTTAATCACTCGCGTAAATTTGGTTTTACGCGAGCGTAGCGTGCGCGCAAGTAATTACTCGCGTCTCGTGGAAAGCCCTGATGAGGGAAATTTTGCCCGATAGTGCCGCTGCCCGGGCAGAATTTCCCTCATAGCACCCTGTATGCGTATACCCGTCTTCATTAGCCCAGAATAGTAGGACATTAAACCCCATTTCATTTCATTTCCTTCCCGTCACCGAATAAACAGATTTTTGCTGCTTCTATTTGTAGAAACACATTTTAGCGTAATAGTCTTTTTACCACAATTACTACAAATTGTACCACAGGCTGGACATGTTTCTTGATAATGTTTATAACCACATCTTCAACAAGTTTCATCTCGATTCTCGCGTTGATAGTATTCACTTTTACTCATAGCTTAACTTTTCTTTTGACCAGATTTGCGGTGAGAGTATTTCAGACTACTGTGTTCTTTCTGTTTATACCTGTCACGGTTGAATCGTCTGTGACTTTTGACGGCACAAACCTCACCTGAATCTTTACTGATTGTCTCGTCAATTTCTCTCATTTCTTTCAGACATCTTTTGTAGTTTCGGCAGTAAGATAGTATTTGACAGTTTTTTCGAGTGTCAAATCATCAATTCTTAACTGTTTTTCTCTCAGATTGTCATCCAAAACTCCACATATTACACTGATCAAAGAATCTTTCAGTCCACCAAAATTACAATATTCATCAAATTGACCACCTTTCTTTTGATTGTAAGTGAAAAACCTGTACCTTTCACATGTTTCATTATTTTTAGGTAAACAATAGACTGCAAACATGTCAAGCACTGGTTTCAATTTATATTTGTCACCATCTTCTGCAAATGCAACGTTGTTGTAGAGTTCTAAGGCTTCTTCTCAAATTACATGTAAAAGGATGCAGGTTCTGGCTTTTTCAGACTTTCTGTAGCCCCTGTGGCCAATTTACCGCCTTATTTCCACTCAGCAACAATGGTTTTCGTTCTGACAGTCTCCCCTTGATTAGAACTTGCAAATACACTTCTGTGACCACTCCTGGCATCATGTTTTGTTCTTATTTTTTAATAAGAATTACTTTTTGATTTAGTCTAGATCAAACAGTACAGTAACTGCATCACAATGTATGTGTAAGCATACAATTACGGTATTATGAGACTGGACAATGCGTATAATGTCAGTGATGCAGGACGTGGAAGTTCATTCAGATTATGGCAAACTGTATGGCGTATGCCCATCTTCATTAGCCCAGTTTGGAGAAGAACAGTAGGACGTTAAACCCAAATTTCATTTAATTTCTCTTTCTCTCTCATCGCCAATTTTTAAAATAAAATTGCACCATGTTAGTCACTGAATAACTCTTAGTTTTTGTCGAGTGGAACTTACCCCCCCCCCCCACGTCCTACTGTTCTGCTCCGAACTGGGCTAATGAAGACGGGCATACGCCATACAATGTGCCATAAGGGAAATTTTGCCCGGACAGCGGCAATACGGCCTACTCTTATATCGAATCCTAACTGTCAGGGGATATTTTACGTGGACGCCAATGTGTACACGGAACCTCGGTTATTTTGGTCCCATCAGAACAACTAGACAGTTGTCCTTGTCAGCCCCCCTCCCCCCGCCGGAAAATCTGGATGAACTTTCTCGGCCAATGCAGGGATCGAACACCCCACCTCCACGTCCTGCATCACTGACAAGGGGGAATCCGCCGGAAAATCTGGATGAACTTTCTCAGCAAATGCAGGGATCGAACACCCGACTTCCACGTCCTGCATCACTGACAAGGGGGAATCCACCGGAAAATCTGGATGAACTTTCTCGGCCAATGCAGGGATCGTAATGAACTTGACCTTCCTTCATCGGCGCTCACTTGGTCCAAAACCGCACACAGAAGACCAGGCTCCGGGTTACCTTTTTAGGGTGTTTTCCTGTATTTAGTCTGTTTTCCGGTATTTAGTGTTTTTCCGGTGTTTTCCGGTATTCAGTATAAAATGGTGTTTTCCGGTATTTTCCGGTTGTTTTCTGGTGTTTTCCAGTTGTTTTCCTGTGTTTTCCGGTATATAGTATTGCCGTCGTGTTCTCGCCTTTGAAAATCCTCGTCTATGGGTTAATCTCGTCATCTCGTGTTCTCGATCTCTCGCTTCATCAAAATCTCGACTTCTCGCCGCGGAAGTGCAGTTTATACGCATGTCCACCGTCTACCGTATCGGCATTTATATTTGGACATGGAT